CAATGGAATATGTTGGTGACCAACCCGGCGAGCCGGGCGTCGAAGCGCTGCACGTTGCGTTGTGAACACAACGATATTCGAATATTGGAGCGTCAGCGATTATAGTGTTTTTATTAGCACCTGAAAAGCGTAAACAAATTATTGGAAAGCCATGCTTATCTGCAGTGGAAGGTTATTTTCTTAGTTATCGCATTCGGCCCATCCAGCCCAGCACAGCATGCAACATAGCCTAGCTGTTAACCCACGAGCCGCTGGGGGGGGGGGCATAAAGTTGCCCCCCCTTTACGTTTTGTGATATATCTCCGAAACCTGATGAGCTACGAGCGTGAAACTTGGCATAGCTTCAAATGAATACTTAGGCAATGTTTGAGGAAAATTTGGTGGTTGTAGCACCTAAGATGACGTCACAGTGACGTCATAAAGTTTTGTCGTTTTCCGATATGGACCGTTTCTGATGACGCTGAGCATGAAACTCAACTGTAAATGAACTAGACAGCACCTGCTGTCATCCTAAAATATCTAACTACACTTCCATCTAGTTTCTGACCAATAATCGGCCCTTTATATGCGGTCCCATATATCCGATGTATCGTGAGGAATATGAGAGTCGCAAATCTATAATTTCCAGGGATGCGGAGCCGTGGAAATTTCAGACGGCTCCGACTCCGGCTCCGGCTCCGGAGAAAAAATCGGCTCCAGCTCCGGCTCCAGCTCCGGGTGAAATGTCATGGCGGCTCCGGCTCCGGCTCCGGCTCCGAGTAAAATGATCCGGCTCCGGCGGCTCCGACTCCGGCTTCTACTCAGTACATCCCCTAATACGGGTGGAAGAAAAAAGACGATGGCCGATTGGTACACGTTGCTTCTGTATTTGTATAACAAGGCTGTTTTGAATACCACATTGTTTTACGCCTTGTACTGTCAAACCGAACTAGGTAAATAATTATTTCCTCTTAACCCGCGCCCTGCTGGGGGGGGGGGTTTGAACACCCCCCTTGTGGTTTTTTGCGAATATCTCAAAAACGGCGGCGCTCCTCAAAAACGGCGGCGCGGAGCGCCGCCGTTTTTGTGTTACACCTTATAATACATCAATTCTACACAAGTTGTGAAAATTTCAGACCAAGGTCATTCAAGGGCAGGTCACCAGGTCACTTGAAGTGACCTCACCTCATAAAGAGTTTCAATGTCTGTCATAGCTACACCGAGTGACCGATCGCTTTGAAACTTTCAGCGATTGATAAGGGCAACAGTATCTATCAAATGTATATCTCAGAATTTTTATATCGGTGACCTAAGGTCAGGTCAATTTTGCGACCTCCCCATTATAAGTCAATGGGAGAAAATTGAAATGCGCCTCTTTTGGACGAAAGACATTATAAACACTCCCAAACACTGAATTACAAGCGGTTTAGACACACTGAACATGAAAATGGTGTCCGTGACCCCTATTTATGCCCCTGAGGTCATCTCAGGTCACGAATGGTGCCTAACAGTTTTTCGCAAATAACTTTTGATAGAGGCATGCTAGAGCGGTGAAAACGCCTTAGATGTGCTCAGCTCGACGATACGGATCGACTGATATGCAACATGACCCTTTCCGGTCAAGTCATGACCTTGACCTGAGGTCAAATTTTCAAGTTGACCTTTCAAGGTCAAGTTATAGTGCATTCGATGCGTCTTGACGAGAGGAACACGATGCCGGTAAAAGTAAGCTCGTACAAGGCTTGGGTCAAAAGTTATTGCAGAAAAACTGTTTCCGAAAAAATCGGCTATTTTTGCAGTTTTTGCCCCCTGCAGGCAAAACCGTTGACGTTAGGTCAAATCTGAGAGAATTACTCAGAAAGGGCGTTAATAGGGCTATCGAATGCGCTTTTCCGCGGCGCTGTAGCTTTATTGGTTCCCGAGTTATGCGTTGGCTTCCTGGAAATTGTCGACATTCGACCTGAAAATCGGCGAAATTTTGCCTTCAATGACCTCTGGTGACCTGACCTTTGACCTGACCAAAAAAGTGACCGAAGTGATTTCGTCATTATTTTTGGCGCTCTTTCGAACGCCGCCTTCCGCGTATCGCTACGTGGCCCAGGAGCCGAGTTAGAAGGGGGGGGTGTTCAAACACCCCCCAGCAGGGCGTGGAAATCCAGGACCCCCAGCCGGGCGCAGGTTAAGAAAAGGAGCCGGAGTCGCCCCCTTTTTTGACGGCTCCGGCTCCGGCTCCGGGCTATATTGTTTCACGGCTCCGGCTCCGGCTCCGGCTCCGGGCAAAATATGCCGGCTCCGGCGGCTCCGGCTCCGGCTCCGGCTCCGGCTCCGCATCCCTGATAATTTCACTTATGACGTCACTATGACGTCATTTCAAATGGGAGCGACACCAAATTTGGACACAACCTCGGCTAGGTATTCAGGAAGATGTGTGCAAAGTTTCGCTTCTCTATCTCTTCGCGTTGCGACGATATCGTCGCAGAAGTAAAGGGGGGGCAACTATATGCCCCCCCCCCCCAGCGGCCGGCGGGTGGCGCGGAGGCCCAGCGGCCGCCGGGTTAAGTTTGCCGGGCATCTATTTTACCCTTTTTATTTTAATTTCTTTCGGCCTGCTACTCAATGCCCTTTCAGAAGACAACGTTGCGGTGGTTGTAATCGATCCGGCATAGATATGGTTTATTTACAATCAGTACATTAAAATTAGCCAGTTTTAGTTATACTGCTTTTACAAATCTTGCAATAGATATGTGTTACAAATGTCATGCAAACCATCTTTTCCCCTTACCAAGATTCACAAAGATTGCTATATAGGTTATCTTAGTGTTATCCGGCTGATATGAGATGTATCCGGTCTGTTTAATGTCGCTGTCTGGTTACGCACGCACTTCATTCATAGTGAACTCATTCATCCACTCGGCCTGGCATATCGCGTGGGAACTCAGCCTTTGACCCGGCCGAATCCGATCAGACTGTCTTTGATGTCTGGTTCTTGGAGCTGCCAGGAGTCCTATGAGATCCTTCGCTCATTTCTCCTCGACTTTAGAACTCGATCGTGCTGTCCTGACTTTGTTCCACACTTATTTGTCACAACAAATCCTAAATCTCCGTAGATTTGCCGATGATGACACAGTGGCGGCACATACCTTTTTGCCGCTACAGGCAATGGTTTGACTTTGAATCACAGAATGAAAACAATTCGAGGCAAATTTTAGGTCTTCAAACGCTCTTTTGCTGATGTGTCGTCAAAGTTTACCTCAATGGTATCGTCCCTTTAGATTACCCAAACGGCAAACATTAACAAAGTCATTATAGGTACTCTTCGGTTATCTTAATTTACCTACTGTTTTTATTTATTCATAACACTTGCATAGCTCTCTCCTATCATTGCTATCAGTGTGCATCAAATTATACATTTTAGGCATGACCTCCTCTGTCTTCTTTGGATCCTCTAAAAAGTTGATTAGATATGATGCGGGGTGCCTTGATGGGATCATGTCCTGCAGATACTTCAATTCGTGTCGACAAAAATAAACGCTTTTGTTTAATTAGACTTGTGTCTGCATTTTGTGGGCAAGGCTTTCGGCAACAAGTGCATTGTTATTTTCAGAAATTGGGCATGAACTCGGGCTCCCGCTCGAAAATTGAACGGAATGCCTACTCAAAGACGAACTAACTAGTGGTTCGTTCATATTGCAAGAGAAAAGCTTTTATGCCGCTTTTTGCGAATGAAATTTATCGGATTGCCTCCTTCATTGGCTTTCGTTGGCTCTCATTCAAAATATTAATTAAATTTCCCTAGCTATTCGTCTTGAATCAGCAATTGATTTCTCAGTGTCCGGGCCTAAACTTTATAGAAACTTAGGCTCCCGAATGCACGGTTTCGAAAATTGTTGAGAGTTTGTTCGCCAGGCTGAGCTATGTAGCACTGTGGGTCAAGACTGACGCCATATTTGTTTTCATTTTCCTTACATTCCCATGCAATTTCCGTCCTGCCTTGCTACTTTTTAGGATCCAATAACATTTTAGGGATGATTCTGACAATAAGCTCAATAGAACATCGACGCTGCACCCCCTGGGCGGGAGAGGCGGTCCTTTCCAGCCGCGCGCCGGCGCCGCCAGACGGCCCGAGCGCCGGAACCCGTCTGCACCCCTCTGTCGGCCATTTTGGCACCCCCAGCGTGCCCGCAAAATGCACGCGCGTCCAGCCGCCCGCCATGTTCGGCAGTGTTGCAGAGAGCAACATGGCGGCGTCGGCGGGCGGGCCGGCCGGCCGCGCGCCATGGGCCGGTCGGCCGACAGCTGAGCTGAGCGCTGCCCGCCACCCGGCCTTGAACGTGAACGTGGTGCGCGCGGCGCGACCAGTGGCGGCGGCGGGCGCGCGGCGGCGGGGTGGCTCCGTGCGCGCCGGCCATGGACACCATCACCTCGATCGGAGTGTTCGGTACGCGCTGTGGCCTCTCTGGTGGTGGTAGCTGTGGATCTCAGCTCCGTTGGTGCTTGGTGTTGTGACGTGTGCCCTGTGCCGTGTCGTGTGCTCCGTTGTGCTCTGTGCGTGTGCGTATGACCTCTGTCGTGGTCGGTAAGCGTGTCTGTCGCCGCGGTGTCTGAGTGTGTACTGACCCTGGGTCACACAGCTCGTGTTGGATCCACTGACCCTATCTTGCGCCACGTTTGATGGGAGGGCTGCGCCGGCTGCCGCCGCTCCACGTGGACAGAGTGACTCACGGCTCAGGAACTCGTGCCCCCGCCCCCGCCGGTGTCGACGGACAGTGGCCGACTGTGACTGACTCACGGCCGACTGTGACTTGACTCACGACAGACTGCGACTGTGTGTTGGGACTGTGGGTGGTGGTAGACTATGGGCCTTCCCCTCCGCTGCGCGGCGCTCTGTGGCCCGGTGTGTTCAGTGACCTCCAGACGGTACGCTGTTGCCTGTTCCCTGTGGTATTTGGTGAACCACCTCCACTTCGCCCGGCTGACGTAACGCCGCGGATGCCCTAACAACCCCGTTCGTCTGTTCCCAGGTCAAGCGCCGCACAATGAAACCGAACTCGGCTCAAAAATGCTACAGATCCAGTCGAAACGGTTCTACATTGACGTCAAGCAAAACCGCCGGGGCCGGTTCGTCAAAATTGCCGAGGTGAGGCTGCCATGTGCTCGCCGGTCGGATTGGGCTGGCTGAGGGGCGGGCTGGTGGGCGTGGTGGCCGGCTATTGACCCGCGTGCCGCCGCCTGCCACCGGTCACCGGTCGACCGAGCACCCTCGGAGAGGCGCGGTCACCGCCGAGCCGGTCACCGGCGGGTCTGTCTGTCCTTTCCGTGTTGTCGCCATCACGGGTCGTTATGGCACACAGAGAGGCGCGGTGACCGCGGCACTGCGCCTGTCACCGGCTGACCTGTCTCTCCTTCCCGTCCCCTGCCGCTGCCAGTCACCACTCGTCAGTACACCTTCGGAGAGGCGCGGCCACCACCGCCGCAGACCTGTCGGTGTCCCTCCCGTGCCTCTGCCACCAGTCCGAGCTGACTGGGCGCAGCGGCCGCCACCGGCCGGCCGTGCCACAGCCGATATTTATTGAGCTAATTGGTCTCTGCAGTGAATGGTCCATGTCCGTCTAAGCGCCGTCCCGGGCCGGGGACGTGCACTGTGCAGTGTGCACTCCCTGTCCGTTATACAGCCAGTTCTGGCGGCTGTCCCGGCGCTGTCGTCTGCCCCGTGAGGGTCCGGTGGTGGTGCCACAGCCACGTGGCCGCCGGCCGTTCAGAGTTCCCGCCTGGCCCCGCCGCGGTGGGGCTCAGTAAGGGTTAGAGCCGTGAGAGTGAGGCTTGCTCTCTGCTGGTCGGGCGGTTGGCTAGGAGTCGCATCTGTCTGACCCCTATCCTTTTCTGCCTGGCTCTGCTGTGTTCTGGTTTCACTCTCATCTCTTAGGTCATGTTGGTCCCGTGTGCTGTCTGTTCTATCCTATCATTTGTCCTTTGTCTACTCTTTTTCTGCCTTGTCTCGTCTGTAGACTATTTTCTCTTTCTCATTGCATGCTGTACATGGACAAAATGTTCATGCGACGAATGTTGCATTTGTTTGCTTTTTGTGCGCATTTGGAGTTTGTTTCCATGAGATCACCTCGATCTGAGCGACCGACCTCACCGGCCGACCTTCGAACAAACAAACTCTTGGTCTCTGACGGGCCGTAATATCTTTCCTCTCCTCTCTTCTCTCTTCTCTCTCCTTCTCCCTCTCCCTCCTCTCTCTCTCTCTCTCTCTCTCTCTCTCTCTCTCTCTCTCTCTCTCTCTCTCTCTCTCTCTCTCTCTCCTCTCTCTCTCTCTCTCTCTCTCTCTCTCTCTCTCTCTCTCTCTCTCTCTCCCCCTCTATCTCTATGTCTATCTCTATCTCTATCTCCCTCTTCCTCTCCTTTCTCCTCTCTCCTCTCCCTCTCCCTCTCCCTCTCCCTCTCCCTCTCCCTCTCCCTCTCCCTCTCCCTCCCCCTCTCCCTTCCCCCTCCTTGGACTTGGAGACTCGAGTCTTTGTCAGTCACGGCTAGGAGAGCTTGTGGGGCTGCCCCGGCCGGCCGGCCGCAGGGGCTTCACTCTACCACATGACACAGTGACACGAACCGACTGTCCGGCGGTGTAGGCTGGTTCTGGTCTGGCATGAACTGGCCCGTTTCAGTCTGAATAGTGAACAGTCAGCCCCGGCGGAGGCCCCACGCGCAGCCGCCGGGCACCGCCGCACCCGGCCTGCCTGTTCCATAAGTGTTCCTCCCCGTGCTGGCCTCTCGGCACATGACGTGTCCCGCGGCGTGGATGGCCGTCCCACCTCAGAGCCGCGTCCCGGGATCCTGGCTAATTCTGTGTGCTCTAGTAAGTGTGGCTGGCTAGTCAGTCGCTGGTGGCTACCTGAGGCTGTTTTTGCACCTCTTCAATCTCCAGTCGCTATTTCTACCCGACGGTCTCTGACCGGCTCGCTGCCCGACATTGACCCTTACCCTGACCCCGTCATCGCTTCTGAATCTGACTCCATTGTTCACCCCGGTATCAATTTTGTAGGTACTTATCTTGTGTTGCCGTCTCCGCCCCTGGCTTGACCATGACTTGCTTTCCCTGATGCCTTTGCTATGAGTATTCGAGCCCTAGGGCTTGGATTGTGCAAAAGTGTCACAAAGCATGTGACGCTATTGCATGTCCATTGTCCATTGTCCATTTCTATGTCGTTTTCGTCTTCCAGTACATGGTCCCAGCTCCGTCGACTGCTCGTTCCATGCTTTTCCCCTGCTCATTGTCATCTCCTATGGCCTATCGTCCGTCTATCCCTGTCCCTGAGCTCTGTCGTCTGTCTATGCCTTTCCCCGAGCCCTGTCGTCTGTCTATTCCTGTCTCTGAGTTCTGTCGTCCGTCTATCTCTTTCCCTGAGCCCTTTTGTTTGCCTTTCCCTGTCCCTGAGCCCTGTCGTCCGTCTGTTCCTTTCCCTGAGCCCCGTCGTTTGCCTATCCTTTTCCCTGAGCCCCGTCGTCTGTCTATCCCTTTCCCTGAGCCCTTTTGTTTGCCTATCCTTGTCCCCAGCCATGCCCTTTGTCTTTCCCCTGTCCCTGAGCCCTGTCGTCTGTCTATCCCTGTCCCCGGGCCCTGTCGTCTGTCTATCCCTTTCCCTGAGCCCTGTCGTCTGTCTATCCCTGTCTCTGAGTGTCTGTCCCCTTCCCTGAGCCGTGCCGTCTGTCTATCCCTATCCCTGAGTCCTGTCGTCTGACTGTCTCTTTCCCAAAGCCCTGTCGTTTGCCTTTCCCTGTACCTGAGCTCTGTTGTCTTCATGTCCCTGAGCCCTGTCGTCTGTCTATCACTGTCCCTGAGCCCTGTAGTCTGTCTATCACTGTCCCTGAGCCATGTAGTCTGTCTTTCCCTGTCCCCGAGCCCTGTTATCCGCCTCTGAGCCCTGTCGTCCGCTGCCTTTCCCTGTCGCCTGTCGCCTATTTCGGTCCCTGGGTGCTGCCGTCTGCCTGTCCTCCGTCCCTGCTCCCTGCCTGCTGCTGACTGTCGGCTATCTGTCCTTCTGTCCCTATCATTCTGTCGTCTCCGTGTCGTCTGCTGCTCTCTGTCGATTGTCCGTCGGTCCTATCACCTGTCGTGTCCGTCCATGTCCCCATCAGCTGGCTACGTGCCCCGTTCCCTGTCCTGGCCGGAGGGGAGGGGACAGGGGGTCACGGGGCTGGTGTACCTGCTGACCCCAGCTGCAGACTGTGTGTATATTCATAACCGGCGCAGACTGATGTCATTCACCCGTCTGAGGGGAAAGGGGCTAATTGAGGTGCGTTATTGATAGGATGCGCCAGTGGATCGACATGACAGGAGGGACATGCATAGTTCATTTCGGTCATTATTGCTTTGTGGTGAGACAGTGGGGTGGTATGTGAGGAATGTTGTCTGGTACGCGAGGCATACCGCCGCCTACGGGCCACGCAGTCGGCGAAATGGAGTGGAAAGAGTCAGCAAAATGTGGTCTGTTTCGTGGTGTAACCAGTACTGTGCAGCAGATTTCCATGCAAGTAGCTACGTATCACAGCACTCGCTGATGACGTTAGTCGTGTCACGTGCTGCCCTCACAGCCCCCAACTGGGTACGTGCCAGTACGTACCCACGTGGAGCGTAACATCCCAGATTGACAGTTAAACGCTGACCTCGTCCATAGAACTAGGAGTGGCTCGGGTGCGGTGGATCTGGAGTCGTTTATTTAACTCGTAAGGTCGCGATACTGGGAGGGCCGTGACCAGTGTGTGTGGTGGGGGGGGGGGGTCAGGGGGGGGTCTTCGTTTGAGTGACGTGTGGAGTCCGTCCAGCAGTCAGGAGTCCACTACCGACGTGGCGCCTTCTTGGAACACTAATGTCTTTTAGTGGATGTTGCTGTTCTCCTGGTGTCTCATGAATTTTCTTCCCGTTCTCCGAAAATGCTGTAGGGCATAGGCGTCTGCGCTCAGGCACAGCACCAGAAAGAATCGGGTGGTCTTCAGCGGAAGAGTTATGTAGGCCTAAAGCCGCACCCTTACCACCGCACCGGTCCGATGTATTGCTAGGTGAACATATGCTCATGCTCTGGCTTCCAATGATTCAGCTTGAGCTTTAGCCTGGCTGTGACCCGCGCTAGCCTGTAGCCGCGCAGACGGGTGTCAGGCGGCCACTGGCGGCGGCCTGCCCGGGCCCCCGGCACTCAGCTCCTGCTGGTCGACTGTCGGTCTGGCGGCATGTGACGTTAGCTGGCAGACTGCCAACACAGCCGGGTTGGCTGGCGCTGAACGACCACCCCATGCCGCTCTGACCTGGAGACACTGCACGTCCTCTCATGGGCTGAAATTGCCCCCTGCAGCTTTGGACCCGGCTGATTGCCTTCAGATACACCGCACCATAGCTGTACTGCATGTCTTTTGACCATCACTAGACATGTTTGAATAAACCATTGTTATGAAATAATTACGCGAACGCCTTCATGTTAGCTGCTAATATAAGCTGCTGTGGGAAGAATCCGTGTTGGTGCGGCTTCGCTCTCCGACTCTTTGGGAACCCGAGTGTGATACCGTGGAATGCTGGTTTGGCTAAACGCGTAAATGTTCTGTATTATGGGTCCTTGAGGTGTCTGCTTCACATGATGGCGCGCCGTAGGCGGAGCACCGAGCCGCTTCATGTCAGCCGACTGTAGCTAGGGCCGCCGATTCTCCGGACATACTCACTAGGCCCAGGGGTCCTTATACGAGTAGGGGCGCTGGATAAGCTGGTTTTACGGGTTACCGTCTGCGCTCCGTTGTTACGATGATATGCCGATGCTCGTTGATGTTCTGTGCGGTTAGAGGTCCATGCCCTGACCTTCCCTTACTCATAACTGTGTGCTGACCCGCCGCTCTTCGATATATGTATTCTTATATGTGTTTTGACCAGCGCCACCGGTGCCACCAGCTGTTGACCAGCTGTTTGCTTTGCTTTTATTATGTGCAGCTCTGATCTATCTCTAGTATCTTACCGGTATTCTGACCCCTGCTCTTACGGTGTTTAAAGTGCTTTGACCGATGCGCCGAGTGCTCTGACCCGTGCCGTGACCCGTGTACCAAGTGCTCCGAATGCTGTGACCCGTGTTTCAATGCTCTGACGACCTTTTTAAATCGTTAATCGTCTGACGACCTGTTTCTCTCCCGTGGTCAGATCGCGGCGGACGGCCGGCGGAGTCAGGTGTTCCTGGCGCTGTCGACAGCGGCAGAGTTCCGAGACCACCTGACGTCATTCAGCGAGTACTACTCGAGTCTGGGACCGCCCAGCCCGGACAACTTCCCCGAGGACGGCAAGCTCAAGTCGGAGATGATGGTCAAAGACAACCGGCGCTACTACCTGGACCTCAAGGAAAACTCGCGGGGCAGGTTTCTGCGGGTACGTAGCGCGTCCCAGGGGCAGGGCGGGCGGAGCCGTCTTCAGGTTGCCTAAAATCACAGATCATCATCACGCACTGAGGATGGCGTGGTCACTGGCTGATGATAAGGCATAGATGAGAGGGCTTTTGTTTAGCATTCCCCCGTGTGCTGGCTTTTATTGAAGCCCATCCATGACTGTATTGGCAGCTCGAGTATCATTCCCCTTGTTGGATGATTTGACGGCTAAAAAGAATCGCTGCTATCCTACCCGTGACGCAAGTACCCAGACTTTCCGCGTTTCTTCAATCGGGACCGCGCCGGTTCCAGCTAGAATTCGTGGCCGCCTTCTGCGGTAGTCTGCTCGCTGAGCGCAGCTCATTCATTTTCTGCACTGCTCCTGAAGCCTGAAATGCACGGTTTCCTGTCGCATTCCTGTTCTGCACTGAGTGGATATGGTAGTCTGGCCACGCCACGTTGCCAGACGGGACGTTGTTTCTGCCTGCTAGTCTCTCGTTGGATTGTGACGGAAGTGTAGAGGTACTCGGGGTCTAGATACGGTGAATCCCCTCCTGTGAGCTGTCGCATGAAAGCGGAGCTGGAGTCTGTGCTGTCGGCTGGATTTCCCCGTCCGCGGTCAGATGCTACGTAGGCTACCCTGATCAGATGCAAGGATGCAGTGAGGGTCCCGGTACACATTTGACGTTAGCTGTCAACGCTCACTGCTTGTCCGCTACGTTTGCGTCATATTAGTGCTTTGCTTGGGCGGTCTCATGATAAGGAATGGCAACACGTTTTGCAGAGTCTGTAGGTGGGGGAGGGGGTAGACGCTAGAGAGAGAGCAGTCCATTGTGGAATTTCCGGGTGGATGTCAGATCGTAAGGCCGTTGGAGGCGACATTCCTTCACATGGGAAATGGCATCTCTCGTGGCTGCAATGCTAGGATGCTCGTTGCATGGTTGCTGATTATAAAGAAACGATATTGAGATTCGCCCTTACCGATTAGCGTTGACCATTTCTCCATTTCGGTGCAAAATCTGCAACGGCTTTCATTCAGTGAAGTTCAAAAATGATTTTTCATGTTCTCACAACCATGCTGGTTATCTTCTAGGAAGTGAGCGAAGGCTTCGCCATAAATTTTGTATCATGCCATATGCTTCGACATTGTCTCGCTCTGGACATGATGAGCATAGTCTGAATCTGATCCTCTTCCGCAAACATGGGGCATGCAAAACTGCGCATCACACTGTTTCGTAAGTTTGTGATGATTGGTTTGGAGTTTGGATATATTCGTTTGGTTTTTGAGGCACTGGATGTGCCAGTAAATGTTTTCTGACGCGATTGCAATTAGAATTATAGCGTGCTGTAGCGTTGGCGACGGCGGTTGCTAACGTGGATTCAGTGTTCCCTTAGAAACTCAACGGAACTGCTATCTTTATCTCATGTGGGCGTTGGTAAATGCAGTTCTAATCTTAGCTGGGAAATTTCATTCAGGAACAAAATTCATCTGCATTTGTCTCTCAAAAGACCGCAAAGTTGGCCGGTGGCTATTCCCCGCATCCGTCAGGCCCCGCTGAGATGTTTTGTTGGGCACCGCTGAATGAGCTGACTGCTACCAACTGACGCTCGCTCCATTCATGGCTGTCGTACGTTTGTTGCTCGGCCGCTATGAGACTGGCCGTGGTCGGGAAATTCCCAGACAGATTGCGCAACGGTGGCGCGATGTGGCGTCTGGGGCGCTGCATGGTCGACCGCCGCCCCCGCGGCCCGTGCGACACCCCGGCCGGCCGGCGGTGATTCGGATGGCCGCTGTCTGTTCCCACGGGGAGCCAGCTACTGATCCCGAGTAGACTCCACGCCAGATCTCCTACTGTCTGTGCTGAGAACGTCCCGCCAGTTATCTTTGTTATGTTGTTTGCAGCAAGGCGCCTCCTGTTTAGATTCGGCTCGTATCGTCTGGCAAGTCGGATCGATGTGTTTCATCGGAGCGCCAGACAACACGGGCGGCGCGTCCAATGACAAAGTTGGCGGCGGAAGACTGTGGGCGGCGGTGGCGGCGGCGGCCGGCACACCATGAACAGCGGTGGTGCGGTCGAGCTGCCGGTGTGGTGCGGTCGAGCTGCCGGTGTGGTGAGGTCGGTTCGTGGTTCTGCCGTGTTCGTTCGTACCGTCTGACCCCGGCTGCCGCCGCCGCCGCCGCCGCCGCTGTGGTACTAAAACAGCGTGTGGTTCTGCCAGGCCCGGCTGGGCTAGGTGTGCTGCCGTGACTACGCCGGCCGGCTGGGATTTCGTTCATCTGTGTGATTATGTGCATGGAGACACTCAAATGGCCCGGAATGCTGCTGGATTGATGGGATTGTCGGCCTCACTCGGACGCCAGATGCTCCGGAGGGGACTCTTTGTCGCCCTGTGTTATACAGTCGCTGCCGGGGGAGGTTTGAATGCCCTCCAGCTGCTGAACCCGGTAACCTTCCGAGAAGGCGGTGCTTCGCGGTAAATGAGCTCGTGTTGCTCGAATATCTCGCAAAACATGCTCACTCCAGCCCCTTGACGAACTCTATTCAGACACCAAGTATTTCAAAGACAGCAAAGGAACACCCCTGTCGCGCCGTTTCTTCCGTTTTCATTGCCAAGTTGCAAGGGTCGGCGCACATTTTCGTCGCCCCCCCCCCCCTCGGCATTGTGCCCAGGGTACCTGGCGACCCCTACCTGAACCGTGACCTAGCCCAAGACCAAACAACAGTGGCCAGCAGCGCTGCCCGGTCTTACCTCAGCGTTTGCTTACAATCTCCCGTGGACTGCCTTGGTCAACGTTTTCCGGCTTGGAACGTTAGAGCCCCTGGCTCTGCGCTGTCCAGATTCCAGACTAAACTTACTTGTGGATACGACTGCATCCTTTAAGGCCTGGCTACACTATGCGTTTTCTGCGTGCGTTTTTTGCGGGTTTGCGTGTTTTGCGTGATATCGTTCTAGAAAAAATAACGATATTACGGTTTTGTGATGTTTTTTATATGAAATTTTAGTTAATATCAGAATTATATTAACTTTTGTATCCAACTAATGGAAAAGTTATATCATTTATGACTTTTTTCTAGAACGATATTACGCAAAAAACGCAAACCTGCAAAAAAACGCACGCAGAAAACGCATAATGTAGCCAGGCCTTTACTCGAGTACGAGCTCCGCTTATGACCTACGAGGAAAAGTATTAGCTTGATGGCCGCCGCAACTATCAGAGGTGGCGTTATCATTGCCAGATTTCTTACTTTTGTGTGCTCTGGGGTACCCTGGTGCAGTGCTGTCAGTGTACTTGCAGGGTCGTTGTTCGTTGGTTGTATGCTGTACCCTGGAATGCCGTAAACGGCTGCGTCTGCGGCGGCCCATGGCTCCGGCACAGGGTCGGCCGGCCCGGCCCGCCCCGCCCAGTCTGGCCGGCCGGCGGACCGTTGGCCCGGCCGCCCGCTCCTGCCGCCACACCGGTCCGACGGCATTGCAGACTGGCGAGCGGCCGGCCGGCCCCCGGCGCGGCGGCCCGTCTGGAGCGGGACAGGTAGCGCCGCGGGCGGCGGCCGGCCGTTGGCGGCGCCCTTCTCACGGCTCTCCCTCCCTCCCTCCCTCCTCCGCCCTCTCGCTGCCGCCCCTTCCACCGGTCCGCCGGCCGGCCGGCGTCGTCTGGCCCAACCGTCGGGCGCGGCCGGCCCATGCGAGCCATTTCCGGCGCTGGTGGCGTGTGTTGCAGCTCGGCGCAGCTGCCGCCAGCCAGGCTGGTCGGCCGGACGGCCGGCCAGACGGCGGAAAGGCCGGCGACTGTGGCGCCGCCTGTGTACAGCGATCCGCTGCCCGCGGCGGCGCTGCCTGGCCCTGTTTGAATCGTGCCCCGCCGGCTGTCCGCCGCCAGCCACGTGGATGCCAGACGCGCCGCCTCCGTGGCGTGCGGTTAACCGGGTGATGGGGTTCGCGAGGAAAGTTCCGAGCGCTGTGCACCATGTTGCATTCTGCCCTGCCCCTAGCGTCTTCCACGAAGCTCTCGTTGAGCCGGCTGCACCCCGCTTTTCGTAGTTATCACATCTTCGGTGACTAGTGATGTTAGCTGATACGTTTGATTGGTTATCCGGTAGTTCGACTTTGGCCGTGGCTTCGTGGGGTCATTCGTGTGTTGTTTACTACCTACCACCCGCGGTGGTCCCGCTCGATAGTGAGTCTGCGATACGGTGATACGTGCATCCGGCGCTAGTGTTTGCTCTGGGCCGGCTGGCGGGCCGTCCACGTGTAGCGTCAGGGGGCGGGGCTTGAGTGTCTGCCCCCTCCCTGCCCCACCGAGCCGCCCCCAGCTGCGGACTGGTGTGACCGGCGCCGGCGGCGGGGCTGCCCCCTCCCCCTCCCACCGCACCGAGCTACCCTCCCAGCTGCCCGGGAGCACACCTGGCGCCGACCAGCCAGCCCACCGGCGTCCTCCCACGTGCTGGAGGAATTTCCGGCAACGGCCGCCGCAGGAAAGTCCACGGCGGGTGGCGCTCAGCGTGCATGGCGCGGGCTGCCGGTCGGCCTCGGGCCAAACGAGCCAACGGACCGGCGGGCCGGCCGACTTTCACGGCCGGCGGTCGGCGGTGCGAGGTCCACAGGAATGCCCCGGTCGTGGGTTCTCGGACGGCGCCGCCGGCTGAGGTGACGCGGCCCCGCGTGTGTCACGGCCGGTCGGGCGCGTGGTGACGGGGAGGAATGCCGTGAGAGAAAACTGGGAGTAATTCGCGAACTCGGACTAGTTGTTTATGGGTGCAATAACTATGCATTCAATTCGTATAGTTATTTACCTGAAACCTGTTTTGTTGGTCACGGACCTTAACGATCTTTTCAGTGCCTTCGTTATACATTTTCACGTAGCCCACCGTTGCAAGGTACAATGCCGTTCGTTAACCCATCCTAATTTAACATATTGTGCAGTTGACTGGTTTGAGCCTCGCGTGTCTCTCATGGCCCGGTGAGGATTGCGGTGCGCCGTAGCTCGTGTAGTTGTTCATTATTGGTGGTATGCTGGCTGCATATGACACTCCGTTGCTTTGTATGGTCTGCTGCTGGAGCGATGTCGCTCTTCATGCTAAGCGAATATTTGTGCAAGTTAATTTGTGACATTGTTAAGCTTTTGTCACTGGTAAATTCGTCTGTGCGGGTTGTTGTCGATCATATATTTCCATTAGGTGCAGCCTTTTGTCAGCCAATTTGCCCATGTGACATGTGGGATATTCGCACAATAATGTCTCACCACATCTCGCTGCGATACCACCTCAGTTCCTACCCACCCCACCCTATCCACGCTCATCCCCAGCCCGACCCGAAGCCCCCCCCCCCCTGAAGTTCGTCCCCAGACCCACCTAACCCCCCCCCCCCTCTATCGACAGGTGTCCCAGACGATCCCGCGCGGCGGCCCGCGCTCGCAGATCGCCATCCCCGCCCAGGGCATGATCGAGTTTCGGGACGCGCTCACCGATCTGCTCGACGAGTTCGGAACGGACGACGGCGGCTTCAAGGGAGAGCTGCCAGAGGGAAAGCACATGCGTGTTGAAAATAAAAACTTCTACTTTGATATCGGCCAGAATGATCGGGGTATCTACATGCGCATATCTGAGGTTGGTAGAAAGTCTGAAAATGGACGTTGTCGAGACGTGGTTGCTCGTGCTATGCGTTCGGGTCATGCTAGTGTTATTTGATCGCGCTGTTTTTGTTTATCTGCCTTTCACACAAGTGAGCGATGTGACGCTGCAATGCATTATCTCCCATACGGTCCTACATAATGCATCCCTTACCAGCATCCAAGCATTTGACCACACCTCCGTTCAATGAACCTGCTTTCCTTTGCTGATGAAGCTTACTTTCAGATAACTTTTGACTGACTGACATCTCGTGTTTAGTGTATATTCGGTCCCCCCAACACTTCATCCTTCGGTGTCCTGCTTCCCGATGCTCTGTGTCTTTCGTGCATTGAGACTTTGTTCTTCTGACGAACCACCCATCTTTGTGTGATATCGGACATGCGTTTTCGGTCATGGGGTGTGCTGAGACATTGTTCCAGTGAGTTCACGCGGTGGATATGTGTTTCCGTGCCGATGTGCTCTCGCGGATTAGTGTTTTGACGGGAATGTCTCGCCCCCAGTGACTAAGTTTGATGTAATTCGTCAATGCTGTTTGCTCTCTGCTTGTCCATCATGTCTCAAACAGATGTATCGACTAACAAACGTATGCTCTGTTTCAGGTGAAAACCAACTTCAGAAATTCCATCACCATTCCAGAGAAGTCCTGGTCACGGTTCCGTGATATATTCGGCGAGTACGTAGAGAAAATGCAGGAGGCAGAGCGGGCGGCACAGGAGCCGAGTGGAGCGCCCGGCCCGCCCGGCCCGCCGGGTCCCCCGGGCCCGCCGGGTCCGCCCGGCCCGCCCGGCTCCGTCGCCGGCAAGTGAGCGGTGCGCAGAGCCGAACGGCCGATCGACTCGCTGCAACACGGCCGCCGTTCAATTCGTGTCTTTCAAAATTTCTGACGCGCCGACCGGAGACAGTGGGTAGACGGCCGGCGCAGAGACGGCGGCGCGGAGACCGGGAACACCGAGACGGAGAGACAGACGCAGCGCACCGAGACGGGCACAGAGAGACGCCGGACAGGGACGGAGGCGGCGCGGTGCGGCGGCGAGGAAGGGCGCGGCGGACGCCCGCCGCCGCCGCCCCAGTGCAATGGGAGCGCAGCGCGGCGCGGCGCAGTGAAGGACGTGGCACAGTCACGGTGGCTGCAGCTTTAACGAGCGCCGGCCGGCCGCACCGCGACCGAGCCACAGGCACGGACGGACACGAGCGGGCGGCGCGTGGACCGGGGTGGCAGGGCGCCGCGCCCGCCACGGGCACGGCTACAAATTATCACTTTGATCGTTGCGTTGTTGGTTAGCCGGCCGTTGGGTGGCGAGTGAGCGATCTGTGGAGCTGGCACAAGGTGGCGCGCGCGCTGGCGACGCTCCGCAGGGATGCCATAATACTGCCATTGTGTGGTGTTGGCGGCTGGTCCTCGGGCCGCGGCCGGCGCCCGCCTGTCGGGCCGCCGCTTTGTCGCTGTTTAAAGAGGAGTTTATTTATTCGTTGTTTGCCATTTGGTTTTCTTTGACTGTGTGTGCGCTCGCGCGCGCGCGCGTGCAGTGCGGTGCGCGGCCGCCTCGCCCCGGTGGAGCTGGAGCTGGATTGGACTGCCGCGCCGTCGGCCGGTGGTGAGTGGTGCTGCGCTCGCCAGCGTGCGTGCGTGAGTTGTTTCCGTGGTGTGCGTGTAATGTCCTCGGTGCTAGTCACAAGAACTAGACGCTCGCTGTGATATGGCAAGCGGTCGCACACAGCCCTTTGGTTCGCTAGTTTGTACTGCGCGCGGCCTGGTCTGGAGCGGGCGCCTGGCCGGCGGCGGCGGCGCCGTCGTGCACAGCGTGTGAGGCCGAGTGCGAGCGAGCGAGCGAGCGAGAGAGCGCGAGAGACTGCCGCGTGGTTGGGCGCGCCATCGCTCCGGGCCTGATCAGAAATACACGAGTCATCTCGGAGCGTGTGGCCTGGACTCCGGGTGGGCGGTACCAGAGGTCATGGAGGGACGTAGATCCGGTGGCTATTGTGCACGGGAGTTATCAGTAGGCATCTAATGACTGGAGCTCACTTGCGTTGAGCGAGTAGGACTGAGCACCGGTGCTCCAGTCAGCCGCTAAGAAGGCAGGAATTGAGCGCGCTGTAGTAGCGTGGACCCTTGGAAAGTCGCCCACGCTTACTTTTGAAGTTTGATGCACTTGGGAGCGCCTACTATAACTTGCTCGGCACATGTCCAATCATTTCCTTGTCCTGCATACGTTAGCAGCGTGGGTGGCCACACTACGCACAAGGTCTTCGCGGAGACCGGATGCGACTCGATGAGCAGAAGTTGGTACATTTGTTCGAACCCCGCGGGGATCATGGCTACTAACTACATTTGCGCAGGTCAGACCACGAGGGGTTTCATGCAATGAATGAAACATCGATGGGAATACGCCTTGGGGATCCGTCGGCGGATGGAAGAGCACGTGGCTGGAGCGCTGCCCGCTGCACGGGAAGATAGTGGACGGCCGTTGAACGCCCACAGGCGCGGGGTGCTAACTTGAGGTCAGCCCTGGTTCCGCGCTAGAAACTTCTTACGATTCATCGTGAACGAACTGCCTGATTTGTTCTCATATGCGTATTCATTCAATGAAAGAGATGTATTTCACCAATGGTGATAAGACGCCCAATTGAAACTCTGATAAATCTGTTTCAGAGAAATTGGTTGTTCTTCAACAGGGAAGCGTCAATCTAACCTTATCCTCTCGTGTAGTGGTCAGTGAGCTGTCGATACTAGAGAACGCATGGGAGTTCAGTTCATCACCCATCGTCCTGCTCTCATCACCAATCCACCATCACCCTGTAACAGTGATCACACATACCCGTTCTAGTCTGATGAGCTCCCTTCCCAGCCGATTGAGGACGGATCCGTCATCCGTGCCGAGTGTGTCTCCGGGTTGACTTTGAGGGACTGAGTGGCCTGTCACACCGAGACACTCCCTTCTAAATAGGGTGCAATCAGCGCAGCCTTTTTGTTGTCGGCTCAACCCAGTTTATCGAATTTAATCAGTGTCGAATGAGTGTAGAATGTTTGGACTTCGGAGTAGAGCAGTACGAAACGAACACACACTTTCCGGGAGGGAGACGCCTAACAACGTCACATCTTCGTCTGGCATCGCATCAAATGAGTGCACAAACACTGTCAGCCCGGCATAATCTGCATATGCAGCCGGAGAGACGACGTCGAGCACTGCGCTTGCTTAGGCGTATCACTAGTTGTATTCTCGCCGCTAGATGGCACCAGAAGTAAACGCCTGAAGGTATGCTGTACCGCAATACTTGAATCTAAAATCTCGCCTACCGGGCGGTGGCGTTGTTAGCGCGTTTCGGAAATAACTGGGAGTGACATGTAGACACCCTCAGTGTTTCGGCTTAGAATGTTCATCGTTTTACACTGTATTCAAACGGTAACTCAGTTCTAGCTAGCCTTGGTTTAAGCGTTAAAATATACCGAATACATGTTTGGGGCATATCGCGTGTCGATCCCATGTGCGTGCGTGCGGCTGCGGGTAGATGTATCTTCTAAGACAAGTTCTATATAAGGTCAGGTTTTTTTTTGGGGAGCACTTTATTTTATTTGTTCTTTTGATCTTCTGAAAAGCGGACATTCGTGGTTGGCTAGCACGAATGCACAAAGCTTTTTTTCTGAGAAAATACCTCATGCGGCGGCTCAAATACGGCTGTTCGGGAGCTGGTTCGGGAGCTGTTTTAGCAAGGGCCGTGTTTCGGAAAGAGAAAGACTGCACTTACCAAAAAGTTGATACAATGTTTTACGAATTTAATGTAATTTTAGTTATTGTGTCATTGGGGCGTGTTAAATGTGATGCGCAATGTGTCAAGGGATCCAACGTTCTGCGTGAATCACCATTAGTGCAGGTTTCGCCATGTCACACCAACTTCGACATTTCAAGGAATACCACAGAGCTGCCTCCAAGAGGGAACAGCTCGGTGTTCGCTGTTTCCACGACACAGCTGCCTCACATCGTCATGACATCGCACGGCTTTCCGGCCATTTTTGCCGGCTCCCATGTGTATGTGAGCGTCAACCGCTTCCTGGACCACGCCGACTGTCTGTCTGAGAACCTGCTGCCGGCTGGTCTGGTGTCCAAAACACTGACGGGCGCCAGCTTCTCCCGAAAATTCCTCTACCTACTGTTCGGTCAGCAGGTGTTGCGCGTTCGCGTCAGTCAGCTGATCAGCTGGCTGGCCGGCGACCTGTCTGAGCGGGTGCTCGACGTGAAGAGTTTCCCGGACGGTGTGCCGCCAGTGTCCCGTCTGGTCACCACGCCGTGTTGTGACGACACCAAGTGGTGTGAAAACACCAACCGGCACCTGGTGGGCTACTCGCTGAAGGTGCGCAACTCGACCGTAATGCTGCTGACCTCGTTGGACCACGGCGACAGCTACCACCGACAGCCGGTGTCGGTGCCGGCCGACAGCGAGCCGCTGCTGTTCGCCCAGTACCCGTCCGAGGCGTACGGCACGCTCTTCTTCAACCACGAGGGCCGCGGGATGGTGGCGCGCATCATGCACAGGTGCCACTCGCTGCCGCGGGGCACGGCCGAGGGTCAGCGCAACGGACCCGGCTGCCAGCGGGCCGCTCTGCAGGTCACCGACAAACCGGTGAGAGTCATCACCGTCCAGCCCACCATGCGCATGCTGACCATCCTGGTGACAGAGGATTTCCGACTGTTCGTCTCCGGCCGAGCCGACACGCACTTTGAGCAGGCGTCGGTGCTGGACGCTGCCTCACTGGCGGTAGTGGAGGGCACATCGCAGGCGCACCTCCCGCTGAGGGCCTTCACCACCGACGGCGAGCGCTGGATGCTGATCGACGCCGATGGACACATGCTGCTCGGGAGCGCTCTCAACGTCTGGACGGCACGAGTGATTCGGCTACAATCGAAGAACATACTCTCTGCTCCACTTCCTGCCTCACCTCCGGCGCCGGCTGAGTCGTCTACCGAAAATTCGGCGTCGTCGCTTGATGATCGGTTCGGCTCGATAATATCGGTCGCCGCCACGGGACCATACCCGGTGTTCCTGCTCCGTGGCCGTACGGTGGAGGTTCTGACTCTGACGGTGCCTCCGGACGGGCGCGGGATGCTGGCCTGCTCCCTGCGGCGTGTGTCGCTGTGGCGTCACCTGGCGCCGCTGGACGCGCAGTGCGGCGTGCTGCGGCTGACAGCCGTCTCCCGCAGCCACCTGGAGCCGATGGTGGATAAGAGCGACACGCTGCGGCTGGACGTGCGTCTGACTGCCTCCGGCCGCCTCTCCGTGCGGCCGCTGGTGCTGTTCAGCTCCAGCGCGCTGGTCTCCAACACCCGCCTGGTGGCCAGCCGCGCGCAGCCGGACGGCACCGTCACCTCGCAGTGGCTGGTGACGGTGCGCAGTCACCCGCAGCTGCGGCAGCGGCCGTTCCTGCGGCAGCTGCAGCTGGCGCAGCTGCATGTCACCAGCACCGAGCAGCAGCCCGAGTGTCCGGCCCGGCTGCCGCACCCGTTCCCGGTACTGGTCGGCTGCAACCCCTGGCTGAAACTGGTGGCCAGGAACAAACGGGTGGACGAGGAGACGTGCCGTCACCTGCAGGCCGCTGGTCTGACTGTGGAGAGCTCCCCGGAGCGCGACCCGCTGCTGCGCTACCAGCAGCAGGTGCGCGGTGAACACGCCGTGCGGCTGGTGGACGGTCAGTGGCGAGTGAGCTGGGACCCGGCCTGGGGCTGCCCGCTGCTCAGCAGCGATAAAGCTCAGTTCACTCCGGTACTCGCCGTGAAGAGTGGCGACCAGCTGCGACCGCTGCGGCAGATCACGTCGCTGTACGAGATCCACGGCCTGCAGGACTTTGGGTTCGACCTGACGGCTTCGGCGGCCAGCTGTCGTCATCACGAGTACGGCGAGAGTCTCTCTTGGCGGCGATCTTACGCTGAACTGTGGAAACAACGGGGCAACCTCAGCGGCGACTTCGACCCGACAGCCGTGCTCAACACCGCCAGCTACGTCAGCTGCAACGACTCGCACCGGCTATCCCGGCACTTCTCCCCGGACCCTGACCTCGCCGCGCAGAGTGCTGAGAACGTCAGCTTCGAGCTGTTCGGTCTACCCGGCCGCGATAACTCGATCATATGGGCCGACTCGGCCAAGATTCATGTGTTCAATTTCCGAGTGATCGATCCGCTATTCACCTTCTGTGACCTGAACCTGACAGTGCCCGTGTTCTTCATGCACTCGTCGGACGTGAAGCAGAAGACCAAGCTGACCATCCTGCTGGTGGGCGTGGGGATGAGCCTGTTGGCCGTGCTGCTGGCGCACGCCTCGCAGCAGGTGATGCGCCGGCTGCGGCTGGAGAAACAGCAGCAGCTGGACGTGCTGCTCACGGCGGCGGACGCGTTTGTGGAGGCCACAGGGCCGCGGCAGCCGCCGCACATCCAGGGCCTGCCGCCGATCGACCTGGCGCGCCTCAGTAAACACAAGTGACCGCTCGGCGGGGAAGTTGAGTGAACGTGTGTCTTCCGGTGCGACACGCACGTGTGAGAAATGCCGTCCAGGGGAATGGCTGTCATATATGAGAAGTGTCCTCAAGTACCTATGTATAATAGGTGCAAATTGAAAAATGTCTTCCGTCTTTACAGGTGTGCGTGTGTGAGGAATATCGTAGGGTGAGATGTGTACGTTATGTTCATGCACCAGCACGACTATGAAAATATGTTCGTGCTCATAATGGCTACTGAACAGTGATGCATAAGTGGCTCTTGTGATGCGTATATCCACTTATCCACACGATAATACATAATTATGTAGCAATATAATGTGTAGTTGGAACGGCTTTGCTCCGTATCGTTTAATCTCGCCTCAATTCATTTCGACTTTACTTAGTCTTCGAGTGTCGTCCTTAGGTACTTCGACATGTTGTTTACTTGTC